GAGAATAAGGAGAGAGGCTTCTGGATTGAAAGCTAAGCTAGACAACTTTAATGAAATGTGTACAAATATATGCAAATACTTGAAGGAGTGTACAAAACAACTGTTGCCCTCCCCACCACCATCAACTCCCACAGCACTCCCCTGAGCTGCAGGCAGTCCTGTTAAAGGTCCTGTGTGGCTTCCAGAGCTGGTGATAAGACAGGCAGGAGCTGAGCATAGAGTCACAGGGGTGAGGAATGCACGGGCCCAGGGATCAAAGGAGGTGGACAGACAAAGTCAGTGTTGGATTCCAGCGATGGACAGAAGAGAGAGCTTGACTTAGTGTTCTCTCAGTTTATATGGGCTATTACGTGTATGGGATGGAATACTCCATTTTGCCATCTGTCTGGTCCTCTCCTCCCTACAGGAGGGTTGTAGATCTGACTCTTCTGCTCCTTTAGTGTCCAAAGCAGCAGATCCAACAAGCAGAGCAAAGGGTCCTTGGGTCTCTCCACAGTAACTATAAACATTCAAGTGTTATCAGTCCACTGGCTGGAAAACTTGCTGCTATTTTCAGAAAGTATGCTGCTTAAAAGAGAGTTCACTGAAGAACAAAAAATAATCAGTAGAAAGAAAATTGGCTTTGTCCTGGCTCAAGCCAGGACTAAAACGTAGGGAGAGAATGCCAGAAAATTAAAACTTAGCACACTTTCAAAGTATTTCAGAAGAACAAAGTTAATAATATTATGCTAACCTTTTATTTTAAAATTATGACTTTGGACTACATAAGTAGGGAATGAAGGCCTATTTTTACAAGCTGTTGTAACATTCTTGAGGTGAACATGAAAATGAGCTTGAGGAGAGAAAGGACAGATGGGAATATACAGCCTAGGAGGAAGAGTGGGTAACACTAGGCAGTCACAGCAGAGCATGCTTTGTGTGGATGGTACTGTTTGAAGTTTGAAGGGTGGCTTTGACTATGTAATCAAAGGCAGTGTGTGCACAGTGGCCAGCAAAAATCCTGATTTGAATCAGATCTCAGACAGATAAAGAGCTTCCTAATTTTTAAGCTATTGGCATGCAAGATTTGTTTTTTTAAATTGTACGTGCCATGCTGGGGAACTTCCAGCCTTACTCTGATAAGTGAAGACTGGAGTCCAGCACAGAAGTGTTGTTAACTGTTTTGCAGAAGATGGCAGCTGGTGGTGTGCTCATTTACTGTTTCCCCCAGAGAGTGAATTGTTGAAACATGTTTCCATTAGTATTAGGTCATACTTTTTTCCCTCTCCCCCCAGAAGGCTATGATTTAACTCTGGAAATTTCCTTGCAGGGTATTTATCTGGTGCATGATATGTATATCAGATATCTTTGTTGCTTCAACAGGCATGGGTCTCAGCTTGCTTTGTCTTGGGCAACTTGCTTGTTTTAATCCTGTTCATTTATCTTTGAACATACCTAAATCTGTTTTTTATTTTTCTTTCAAATACTGGCTTTGCAATGGTATTGAAAACACTAAAAGCCTGTATCACTTTGAACAGCATTTATGATGATGATTTAAAAAAAATCCAAAAAAGACTGACTGAATTGGACAGCTGGCTCATAATATACTTGCAATGACTTAAATTTGTGTATAAAAAAATCCAGTTTACCAATCAGTTTATAGAAAGCAGTACATGTAAGCATCATTTTAGTTCTGCAGTAAATTAATAAAGATTTTCAAATCACAACATCTCTACTGAAAATTCCATTTGTATTTAATTACTGTCAGGGCAGATATATTAAACTTATCCACAAGGTGAAATCAGGCTTCATAGCTTTACTTATTATTGTTGAACACCTATTGACAGATCTTGATACCTGTAGTTTAAACAGCGCCTTCATCCCTTTTAGGATGAAAGAAGTTGGCATGGGTTTGGTTTGGTTTAGATGGAGTAGTCTGTACAGGTCTTCTGTCAGTTCCAGCTCTAATCTCTTCACTTTGCTAACAGAAGACAGTATAAACAGAAGTCTTCTTGAAACAAGATAAAACAAAAAAGGGTTTTTACCTGGGGTATCTGCATGTGATGTGTGGGATGGAGGGGAACCTTTATTGGAATTACAAATCAAAATTCTCTCTGAAAAAAAGCCAAACAAACTGGCTTTAAATGAAAGAATTGTGCATTAGAGTTAAAAAAAACCAAAAGTATTATTGAGAGAAGTTTGAAACTCAAGTTTTAATTCTTTATCTTCAGTGTTCACCATGGCCTGATACTCCTACAACATTTGTGAACAGTAGTCCGACTCCTGCTCCAACTTTTACCTCTGCTCAACATAATACCTACAGTGTCCCAGACAGGTGGGTTTCTTTTTTGTATCGTAATTAAAGGTAACAATTTAAAATCAAGATTATTAAAAAATGTTTTCTGAGTAAATCTAGGAGCTTGCAGCTGTTTTCTGGTCCCACTGGGGAACAGGAGATTATTTTGACCTATATATTTATTTTAGAATTTTGATGCTTGGATCATGTAACATAATCACCTCTGCTTCCACATTTCTCTTTGTCACTATTACATTGTTGGAAACTTTTCTTCTTGTCCTTTGCCACATAGTGAATACTTTAGCTTTTAATAGTTTTCATTTAGTCCTTGTCTATGGAAACTAGGTTTTTCAGTAAGAACAGTCTTTGTTCCCCTCATACACAGTTAATAGTATTTGCAAGAGGAAAGCTCAGCAATAATCTTTGCAAGCTTTTCAATAGAAATTATATTGGTAAAACTGTGATGTATCAAGACATTAATTAAACTACTGTAATTTAAATTGAGTGATCAAGGAATGATTTCTAGTGCTATGGTCCAGTCTATGTACTTTTCTTTTGTCTGCCTTATGTTTTACTACCTCTTCTTCAGTCACTCCTTAAGACAGGTAAGTGGCCGTATAACCTCCCATGAGTGTTGGTAAAGCTGCTTCTCCAGCTGATAAAGAAGACACAGAATAGGAACCAGCTGACTTGCATGTACAAGTGTGATGATAATTTTCTTGAGTGGAACCTAAGTTTCACTCTATGCAGCATGTAATTTGTCTTTCAGCAGTGCTACTTATTGTTTTGGGAATTTGAAGTTATTTTTCAGCCATGCTTGAATATGTTGCTTAATAAAATTCTAGTAATGCTTATTTTAATCTACAGCAATTCTTCGTCCCCAAATCATCAAGGAGATGGAACCTCTCAAGGATCTGGAGATGTGAGTGTTTCCTTTCTGGTATTGATTGTGGATATATTTGTATTGTAATATTTGATTTATACATACCTTGATATGAATAGATACTGGGGAAATGTTTAACTGAGGGAGTTTTTTTTTTAAAGGTTTTGGATTTTTTTAATATCCAAATTAACATGTTTTGTCTTGTTTCTTAAAGCAGCTTCATCCTTCAGCCACAATACAGGAAACTCAGCAATGGTTGCTCAAGCATAGGTTTTCTACCTATACAAGGCTTTTTTCGAATTTCTCAGGTATGTATAGTTTGCTTTTTTACCTAAGAGTCTTTCTTTGTGTTAGTGAACAAGATTTTGTGGGGAAAATAATTCTCTAAAAACAACAGGGCACTGATATTTATTGTAATTCACTAATTTGCTTACTTAAGTAGTTTGTCTTGGAAGGCATTTTTTGTAGTTGTGTTTTGCACAAACCCACCCTAAACCCCAAAAGTGAAGCTAGATTGTTTTCTTCCCTGATGGTAGTTCACAAAATCATTTTGTCCTTGATTAGTCCTCTGAGAAAAATTAATTAATTTGGTGAGTCAGACCAGCCAGCTGTCTATTTTGGTGTGTTGCATCCTAATGGCAGGCAGTATGCAATGAGCTCAGAGGAACTGCAAGAAATTGCTAACATCTGCCCCATGGTAGAGCTTTTCTTAGGAGCTAGATTTAATTGTAGTATATGAAGCTTTCATCTTTACAAACTCTGACACTGAATACTCACAGAAACGGCAAATTGCTTTTTGTATTGAATTCTGTTTTAATACCATGCAACAGGAGAATACTTGTACCTATGTGTATTTGCCTGTTAGAGTTTTTTTTATAGAATCATTGTGGTTAGAAAAGACCTTTAACGTTGTTAAGTCCTACCAGTAACATAGAATCCACCACTAAACCATGTCTCTGAGCACCATGTATTTCTTTTTATTTTAATTTCAGCAGAAAGTCTGATGGCTCTTTAAATATGTGTCAGGGTAGTGTCCACTATACGTGCAGAAGCAAGAAATGGCAACATGTTTTGCTGTTTGTTTCTTGAATCCTCCATGTAATTATGCGAAGAGTGGGATGACACAGAACACACTGAATAAAATTCCCTTCTAGGTTTTCTCTGGTGACACATGATGGGGAGAACCTGATGGATAATTCCTGCTCTCTGTCTCTGCTCATGCTTCTGCCAGAATTCCCTTTGTACCAGGCATCATCCTGCCTTTAGTCAAGATGGAAAGTATAGATTGTCTAAAGTGGCATTGTTGAAAACCCATAAGAATTGGAAGTTTTGTCTTTTCTGTAGCTAATTAATTTAATTATCTCCTTAATGTTTTCTAGGTGTTCGAAACATGGGTGGATGTCGTGTTTCGGGAGATAGTTTAGTGATTAGGGGCTGTAGGGTGGACAGCTGGACTTGATGATCTTGAAGGTCTTTTCCAACCTTGATGATTCTGTGATTCTACCTAAAATTCATACTGTTTTCTCCAAGGATATACAGGTTCTGACATTAAGCTCACTTTTAGCCTTTCTGCACAAGCTGTGAAAATGTCCTCCAGCTCTGAGAAAGGAAGTTCTGCAATCTTGCTAAGCCAGTATTTTGCAGTAACTTCCTCAGCAAACAGTATGTAAACATGCTGTTGATAAGAGTTATTTATCTGTAGTCCTGGTGACATCAATACAGGCAGCAATAACTAAAACTGTGTAAACTGCTGCTAATAATAATAGTAATATAATAAAAGTAACTAGAATTCTGAGACTACAGGGGTCCCTGATGTTTTCCTGTACACAGGCAGTATGACTTCTCCAAACAAAAATTGACCTGACGTTGAGATAGTAGTGAAGTCTCTGGAAAAACTGCAGCTTTTTTTTAGAGGAAAAAAAACCAAATTATCATACATAATATGTAAGAACAACATGGCATTTCTAGCTATCTCAGCAATAAATAGGTGCTGTCCTGAGTTTCCCTCCTCAGTGTGGCTGAGCACACCTTCTAGGAAAGCAACCTTTTCCTCCAGGTGAGTGGGCAGTACTGCCATAAACTTCCTGGAATCAACAACATCTACCAGCTCAAGACTGGCACATTAAGGATCTTTTGTTCATCAGTGACATGATGATCTTATTTTAAATACTATGGACCTAACAGATAAGCACAGTATTTCTTAATTAACCCTTGCAGTGTTAGAAATTGACCATGTCTTCTGCTGCTGTATTGTGGTTGCTAGGCTTTCTTAGAAAGCTTTAGCACCAAATTTCTGACACAGACCCTTGGAAAACTCTTAAAGCCATTCTTCTTTTCTTTTCTGTTATAATCTGTGTGTTTACAGAAGTCAGATGCTAGCTGGCTGCTAGGTTTTCTTTGAAGCAAGAAGTGTAGTGTAGCTTATTATTACGCTACTTCAGCTGTGGTGGGTTTATTATTATAGTACTTCAGGGGTATGATGACATTCTTTTTGCTGGTTTTTACTTATGTATTCCTAGACCTTGTGTGGAACATTTGCATGAATAAAGACAATCCTTTTTTTTCTCCCTGTCCTTCCACTCATCTGTTACAGTGACTGATTTTTCAGACTGTTGTTTTCATTGTTGATACTCATGCTGCTTCAAAGAAAAACACTTCCTTCCATTCTTTGTTTAGATGTGCTTAGTGTCTTTTATTGAAGCTTAATTTTCTGAAGTAAATTTTCAGGGAAGCAGTTGCTTTCACAGCTCACTTATTCCCAGGATCATTAAAAACAAACCAATAAAACAGAAAACAAGAACCAAACAGCAGCAAACAAAAACCAAAACAAAACCCCAAACAACTGCTTTTGGATGGAAGTATCCCACAGCCTGGATTCAGCCCAGAGGCTGCTGATGTACTGATTTGACCACACTGATTTGGTGGTGCCAGCCTTTAGCAGTGTCTTCTATAAATGAAGGCATTGTAGTAAGTGCAAAGAGGATATGATGATTTAAATGCCTGGGATGATTCACTGAGTGAGAAACCATCAAATATCTTTGCTCCCTGTCCTGCTTGTGTTTACAATACACTTGCCTGGGTGTCAGTAGGTACTTTGAGTCCTTTAAGCCATTGTCTGGATATAGAGCAGTCATCAGACTACAGAAATGGTTTGTCTTGCAGACTTTGTTCTTTTTCAAAGATGTGAACATCATCAAGTGGAACTGACCGCCTTTGGAAAATGTTTTTTTTTTTTGTCCTAGTGCTAGCTAATGCCTCTTCTCAATTTTACCTGCTTGTTTGGACTCTCTAGTTCAAGAGAGACAGGAGTTTACTAGAGAAGTCCAACGGAGGGCTACAAGGGTGATTAGGGGACTGCAACACCCGTCTTAGGAAAGGCTGAATGTCCTGGGGCTGTTTAGTCTAGAGAAGACTGAGAGGGGATCTTGTTAATGTATATAAATATCTGAAGGGTGGGTGTCAAGAAAGAAGGGTCAGTCTCTTTTCAGTCACGCCCTGTGACAGGACAAGAGGCAGTGGATGCAAGCTAGAGCGTAGGAAGTTCCACCTCAACATGAGGAAAAACTTCTTTACTGTAAGGATTATGGAGCACTGGAACAGGCTGCCCAGAGAGGTTGTGGAGTTTTCTTCTCTGGAGATACACAAGACCCATCTGGGTGCATTTCTGAGTGACCTGCCCTAGATTCTGTGGTGGTCCTGCTCTGGCCAGGGGGTTGGACTCGATGATCTCCAGAGGTCCCTTCCAACCCCTACCATTCTGTGTTTGCAGGATTCCATGGTGTTTGTTATTCTTTGTTTAAATGAACATACAATTTATCTTGAAATAAGCGTAGATGTTCTAAAATAATCTCTGTAAAATCCTCATGTTTCTCCAGGTGCTGATTTATTAAAGCTGACAAGAGAAGATCTGGTACAAATCTGTGGTCCAGCCGATGGAATTCGGCTATATAATGCACTGAAATCCAGGTAATGTGTCGAGTGTGAGGCTCAGTGTTCTCATTTGTTGTTCTGTCATTTACTAGATTCCCCTGTCTTTGGAGTGGGGAGATTTGGGAAGTCACTGTCAGCACTCAGTGCCTTTGAGACCTGTCTCAGGAACCAGAAGCAGCGTGTTTAAAAAGAGCTTCCTGCGTTTGCCTTCAGGGCAGACCCCAGAGGAGATGCAGGCAGTGAGGAGTGCAAAGGTGGGCTGGAAGGCTGGGACCAATGCAGTTCGGCACTGCTGATTCCTTGGAAACAGATGAATTTGTTGTCAAGACGCAAAGCTTCTCATTTAGGGGAGCTAAGAACAACCTGAGGCCCTTTGAGGTCACAGGTGTCACGTGCTACCTCTGACAGCATCCCAGCCAATGTGTCTGATTCTGACAGAAATGGGTATTTTTGCCACTGACCTTTGTAAGGATTGGAGTTGTTCCTCAGTAGTTGTGTTCCAGGATCTCAAGCAGCAGTGTCTTGGTGAGCTTGGAATTGACTGAAATGTTGTCAAAACGCAGTAGAATCCCACAGACCACTTACCAGGTGTTGTTGTTTAGTCAGTGAAGGAAAGCATTTCAAGTATCCTGTTAGGGCAACAAGTGTACATTTGTGGCATGTCAGTTTCTGCATTTCCAGGGCAAATAACCTTTTCTCTGGCATGTGATGTGTTTGAATTGCAGGTCTGTTAGGCCCCGTTTAACAATCTATGTCTGCCAGGAGCCGTTACAGAGCATCCAGCTGGAAGGACAAGATGCCGGCAATGGCGATAGCAGCAATGGTGCAATATATGGTATGGGGGGTGTGGAGGGTCTCTCAGCATGCTCTGTGTCTTCAGAAGTCTAAAACAAGATAGATGGGAAGGGAAACATAATAGTGAAGAGGCTGAATTTCTGTTTCTGGTGGAACCACAGGCAGTTGCATTCAGAACAACATTGGTGCTTTGACACTGTGCGGGACGAACAGAACCTTAAAAGCTTAATCAATAAAACTAATTGTAGTTGTGTGGTAATTAACTAAAGAGCTCTCAAATTAGCTGTGCCATCTTGTTATGGCTGAGGTATTGATCAAATGAATGTAGGTGCATGTAAAAGCTACATGATAATAAAACACTTAATTATTTTTCATTTTCATTTATGTTTTGCTGTCACTGTCTGTGCAACTGCGCTAGAACTGGTAGAGCTAGGACAAGGAAAACCAGCGTAAACCCCAGTGTAGGGGCTCATGACTCTAGTATTATTTTCCTGAGACCTACCTGTTGTTTCAGCACAGATGGGAACTTAAGTGTTTACTTGTAAGTTTGTGTTCATCTTACAATTAAGAGGATGGAGCTATTTGAAATCACTCTTTTCTTGCTCTTGGCTTTGAGTGAAGAGACCTCTCTCCCCAGCCAACTGAAATCTGTGTAGGCTGCTGCTGTAATAGTAGCTGTGTATTTTCCATGCAAGAACTGAGGTGGAGCAGGAAGTGTAAATAGGATACTGGCTCTGTCAGATACTTATTTTCGCTCTGGATATCTTCAGTCTTTCGTTTGGGACAGAAAAATGTGCAAACATGGAGCTTCCAAGGGCTCTTAGCACTATTAAATAAAGCCTTAGAGCTGTTATACAGCATCCAACTGAACAGCTATTTTGTCTTACTGTTCTGTTTGTGGTGCTGTATTTCCTCCCCCACCCTTCAGCTCTGAGATCAACTGGAGGAAATTTATTTGGACAGTTGGAAACAGCTCTCTTTAAAGAAAAAAATAAAATACATCCCTATTTAAAGGAACAGGGTAGTAGTATGTGTCAGGTGTATTACCTGCTTCTTTTGAGATGGTCTAAAAGTCATCGTTAGGTGACTCTGAAGCTCCATTTAAGTCTGTTTGAGAGGACTGTGCCTTTTGCAGGGATACAGGAAAATATGTGGGGGTTGCTTTCAGGGACAGAGCCAAGAGAGGCCTCCCCCTTGCCAGAGAGCTGTGCTTGCTTCACCTTGGGAGACACGTGGCTGAGTGGGAATTGGGTGAGAGTACAGCAAAGGTTTCCAGCTTTTAAGTTTTTTTTAAGCCAGGTTATAAACAATTCCAGATTTTTTTTTCCATGTATTTACTTGTTATCCATTAGTACCCTGCTGATTTAAATGCATTTTTCCCCTTGTAGTTTATCATGCAATCTACTTAGAAGAAATGGCAGCCTCCGAAGTCACACGCAAGCTTGCTTTGGCATTTAATATTCCGTTGCATCAGATCAACCAGGTTTACAGACAGGGTCCCACAGGTATCCACATCCTTGTTAGTGATCAGGTAATGGAAAATTTATGTATTAATTAAATAGAGGGGAGGATTTTGTTATGCTTACTTCTTTTTTATGTTTATTTTGTTTGATAATGCAGCCTAGTATTTTCTGACATGTATTCCTTTACATTAAAATGAGCAGAAGGATCCTTTAAATGTCACTCTACCTGAATATACTCAAATTAAGAGGAAGACAACTAGTCCATATAGTTCTGAGATGCTGCAGTGATTATTTAGTATGTATTTATTTTGAATGTGCCCAAGAGTTTAAATAGCATTGAACTTGGCTTTTTTTTTTCTTTTTTTTTTTTTTTTTTGGCAGATGGTTCAAAACTTCCAAGATGAGAGTTGTTTCTTATTCACCACAATAAAAGGTACAGTGTCATTTCTGACAGGTTATTTTTTGCTTTTGCTGTTGATGAGCTGTAATGTTAAAATCTGCTTCTCTTTACCATAGAATCCTAAAATCATAGAATGGTTTGGGTTGGAAGGGACCTTAAAGACCATCTATTTCCAACCCCTCTGCCATGGGCAGGGTCACCACCCACTAGATCAGGTTGCTCAAAGCCCCATCCAACCTGCCCTTGAACACTTCCAGGGAGGGGGCTTCCATAACTTCCCTGGGCCACCTATGCCAGTGTCTCACCACCCTCACACCAAAGAATTTCCTCCTAATTTCTGACCTAAATGTACCCTCTGCCAGTTTAAAACCATTAACCCATGACCTATGGCCACATGTCATTACAAAAAAGTCCCTCCCCAGCTTCCTTGCAGGCCCCTACAGGATCTGGAAGGCTGCTGTCAGGTCTCCCTGCAGACTACTCAGCATCCTAACTTGAAACTAATTGTTCTGTGTAGTATAAATCAGTTCACGTGGTTGGTAATCATTAGAGACTTGTTTGTCAGTTGTTTTAAGCCTTTTGGAGGTGCTGCCAACTTCCAAGCATGAAATCCACAGGGGTGTTTTTTTTAGAATTTCCATTTGGCTTCCCAGTTGAAGGCTGAGCATCACGAAATATAAGATTAAAAACATATACTAATTGGTCTTGTAGAAGTTAACTTTGTTCTGTTACACTGTCAAATTCGGTGGGTTTAATGTGTAGTAGGAAGAGTTCAGAAATAACTGCAAACCAGAGAGATTTTTAAAAGTTAGTTACTCCTCAAGTGTTTTGTCTGAACAGCAGGTTTTCAGCTTAATATTTCATAGTAGCAATGGACCACTTCTGCACAGTGCAAACTGAGTCTATACTCTGATGTTCTGGTACACTGGCTGATAGATTTATGGTTCTGTTTATGCGAGACTGACACTTGTTTTTCCTTTTCAGCTGAAAATGGTGAAGGTTTCCATATAATTCTGAAGTGATGTCACACAACCCCTAGACTGATACTCCAGCGCAGAATGAAGTCCTGCCTAAAGATTATGAAGATCATCCAAAACCTTAGGATCTAACTTCACCGTATAAGATGTTTCATATTGAAAACACACAGTGACCTTTCTAACGAGCTGTTTGATAGGTGAACTTTCTTATCACTGCCATAGCTAAGTGTCCTCATGAGAGGTATAATGCCATGACAGCTGACGTACAGGCATGGAAGACAATGTAAGCAAAGGTGCTTGCCCTTTCCTGAAATAAGGCAAATTATGGCCAGTAGATACAGTTTCTAGAAGCAAAGCGCTGCTGCTTTTCTATTCTCTGTATCCAGTTGGAGATGAATGTAAACTTATTTTGGGGCATTTACCTTTCTGTGCCAGTTTTGTCTATTACTTGCTTGTACCTTATGCTGGTTTTATTTTTTGATGTTAGCAGAGCACACACTAATCTGTGTGGAGAGGAGGAGTCAAGCTGATCGTGATCAGGTTGTCAGGTCTTTGAGAGTAAAGCTGTCAAAACAGCTTCCCGTGTAAATTGTGTACAGGAGTGTATGTAAGAAGTGTAAATGCCAGAACTGGGCTTTTAAGAAGCCCCAGACAGATGCAATATATGCATGCAGCAAACTGCATTATCAGTAGTACCTTATTGGAGGGATTAATATAAATCCTGTCGGGTACCAAGTCATTGTGTTTTGCTTTAACAAATTTAATGGAAAAGAATTGCCTATGCATCCTTTATGTTTAGTTTCCTAGGTTCTCTGCGGAGCACTGCTGCAGTTTAACTCTTTGCTTGTAAAATGGTGGGTTTAAAAATACTGGCAGTGAGAGGTGGATTTTGATGGCGTGGTAGAATCATGCTGCTGAGGGAAGATGACCCACTGGCACCACAGGGCTGTCACAGCTTTCAGCAACATCAAATAAATCGCTTAAGAAACACTAACTATACACCATGTAAGTCTCCTTCCCAGCAGGTAAATGCCTGGCTGTAGTTGCTGTTCTGGACAAGTCTCTTACCTTTCCTGTTGCCCTTTCTTTGCCCTCTGCTCTGTGCTGTACAGCTGTTACAGTGCCTCTTCCATATGACCAAATATTTGCTTTTTCTTTGAAACAGGCAGTGTGCTTTTTTCAATATTTTGGATATTTCTTGTAAAGACATGGCACAGCATTTTCTATGTTAACATTAAGTTTCAACTGGTTAGGTACTTAGAAGGGACTATTGCAAAAGGTGTGACAGTTTCATAGCTGTCATTTTATGCCTTTGACAAGTTCCACCCTGATCTCTGGCTTAAAAGCTTGGGAAGCGTTTGCTTTTTCTGCTGCAGTGTTCGATGTAAACAACTACTACAGCACATAAAAAAAGAGCAACTTTGATTTTTTTCATTCCTTCTTTCATAACTGGCTGAAGTGCTTAGCAGAAAAGCTTCTTAAAGCTGTAGCATTTTGAAAATTTGAATTCATCAAACCTGAAGTTTCTTTCCTCTTTTTATTTTTTTCTGCACTGAAAGTAAAAGTTTATGTACTTAAACATTTCTGCCTATAAGTTATCCATCTTTGAGTCTTGTTTGGTCCTAGTATTTTCTGGAACTGACACTTGTGTCAGTTCAGCTCATACCATATTAAAAGTCACATTTTATAAAAGTGGAAAAATCCTTGATTGGAAAGTATCCAAATATCTAATTTTAAAGAATATTGAAAGTTGTACAGTAGTTTGTCCAGCTCACTTGAAATTGGAATTAAATTATGGCACCAGCAAATTGCTTTTGTTTTTTAATAAGATGTACACATTTCAATTTAAGTATAATAAATGTTTTTCGATAATTTTGTAAATGTGCTTTTCTTTTCGTTTACTTCCCCCCCTCCCCTTACACACCCCAGAGATTTTCATTGTTTAGATTCAGATGGAATGCAAGGCCTACCCAGGCAGTCACAGCAGCTAAGGAAGCATCAATAGGGGAAGCAACCCAGGACTGTCATTTGTCCTGCAGATCCTCTGCTTCTAATGGCAAACTTAGTTGAACTTGAAATAACTGAAACAAATTCAAATCTGACATCATCTGATTGTTTATTTACGTGTCCTATATCAGAGTAGGTTCAATTTTTTTTTTTTTACATCTTGACTGCAATTAAGACTTAAAAGAGTCGTTATGTTCTTAGAAAAAAATGAGCCACCAAAAGGCAACACCGCTTGACGTACTGGTACTGACAACTCTCCTGGTACAGCTGAGAACACAATCGGCTTAAAACTCTCCATTTTCAGCAGTATCTTAATGGAACTCTACATATAATTGTAGCAACACTCCTCCACTACTATGCAAAACAAACCCCAACTGACTTTGCAGTAGTAAAGCAATCCATGTCCTGCACTGTAACCTGTAATTTATCCTCCAAGGGGAGATCTTAATTTACTCTCCCCCTTGGGAAGCACGACCACAGCTGCTTCCACACAAGTCTGTCAATCTTCTTTTTTTTTTTTTTCTTTTTTCAAAATTAGCTTAAAATTTTTGGGGGAAAGTCCTTTAACAATAGTAGCTTCTCCAACTGCATTTTTAAGCCAGTATTTCTGTTACTTCTCAGTAAACACACAGGTCCTGAACTCTTAAAAACATACACACACACACTCAACCTTACACAAAAATGTTGAGTAGTTTATCTCAGGTAATTAAGTTGCTTAATATTAAAAAAAAAAAAAAAGTATTTCTCTATCCCTCTAGCTTTGAAAAACTAAAGATGAAAGCATGGCCTTAAGAGTTAATACACAGATTTGATTGTTACTATCACTCAGAAATTGACAGCTTCTTAAATAACCCAAATGTGAAGAGCTTGGCTTTCTACATTTGAAAACCATGGGTTTGGTTGGGTTCACCTCTTACCTACAGATGTAGTTGCCCATCTGCTTGCTGTGTCCCTAACAAGGGTGGGGATAAACAGCTTGAGTTCCTTGCTCCATCCTCGGTCCTGTAACTGAACCTGGATTCCATTCCCCAGCTGTAGAACTGACTCAACAATACACTCCTCTTGTAGAGCTGCTCCGCGTCCTTTCCTCGCCAAGTGAGGAGGTAAGGACGGGCAGGGATGGTGTGACAGGAAGCAGCACCATGTAGGAGTGTGGCAGCTGATGGCAGTAGAGTGCACAGGCTCCACCACCCTGGATTTCTTGCCCCTTTAAAGGCTGATGGCACTGGGCATAGAACGTGCTTTGGTGACAGGCAGGCTTTACACTAATACATAGTTCAACTGAACCAAGTTCAAAAACTTGGGAAGTATTTATATAGTGATCTTGAGGTACTATCTTACCTTCTGATGTTACCTATTAACATCCTGTTGTGTAATTAAAGATGAAGCTGAATCATGAAACAGGATAAGCTGTTTTGCTGTAAAAGCTCATGATTGCCTTGCATTTTTTGGTCAACATCTGCTAAAGCTGATTTGTCCATAACCAGAGATTTATTCTGTCGTGTATATTACAGAGCAGCAGGCTCAGTTCCTCGGTGTGACAGGCCTGAGCCCCACCTGACCTTACAACTTCACACGGAGTAGTGCTTACAAATGCAAATTGACTTCCAAGCTAAGTGAACTTTCACCAAGTAGCTGCTATGCTGAAATGCCCCCACATTTTACACGGTACTTCAGTTCTCATGCCAACAGAAGGAAGGTGCTACTAATACAAACCAAAGCATCACCAACTTAATCCACAGCTGCACATTACGATTTTTACCTGGAAATAAAAAAAAAGCTTTTCTTGTCACAAAACTGGATGACCAAACACCACCGTTAGGACTGTCAGGAAGCCGCCTCCTCCTTCCACTGACGTGCAGTCCCGTTCTTCTCTTCAACAGCAACAACAAACTTCTCCCCGTGGCTGCACTTACTGTCAAAGAATAATACAGCATCTGCAGAGGCGCTGTCCGCTCCCTCCCACCGACGGAGGGGGCGTGACTGGAGCAAAGTAAGCATGAACCTTCACGTGAGGTAGATGAGCCTGCAGGTGAGAAGTCTGTGTCATGATGGGAGCGAAACAAACCTAACTGGAGCAGCAGGACACCTCAGCTACTGCTAGCAAGCAGGAGGGCCTGTGAAGGTTGGTTAACTGAAAAGTACTAGCTGCTTGATGCTATCCAAGCTGTCTTCTCCTGACATGCAACTCCTGTGTCGCACCCAGCTAAGCATGCTAACATCTGCACTCTCTCCTGCTCAGGGTTCCCACTTATCTCCCAACAAAAAACCAGTGAGCCCTCCATCAAGAGGCATGTGTTCTGCTGCAGGGGCCTGGTGGACCCTTGGCTACTGAATAAAAACTTTCCCATGGTCTTGTCTGTCATAGTCCCTGCTTCTTTCATCCTAGAAAGCATAGAATAGAACAGGGCACCTGGCCTCAGTCACTATCAGGGATGAGCTTTTCCACTGTTTGGACTTAACTCTAGAATAAAAAGCTGCAGAAAAGTTTACACAGAAGGTTAAACACAATGGCCCCCAAGGTGGGCAGTCCCTGTCTTAATGGGGAAGGTAAAAAGAAGAAAAAGAGTTTGTGGCTTGATTCCAGGGTCTAATAACCCATTAACCAAAATGTCCACGCAGGTGTTCTACTTTTGGGTCTGTCTATTAGCTTGTATTTTAGGAGAGTTAAGGAATTCCACTACACAATCCTAAAAACATAGAAGCCTGCAGTTGAAAACATACAGAAAGCAGAAGCACTTGCCATTCCAACTGCAAAAGTGTAATGAATTATAAACAGAATCAGACAATTATTACTGCTGACAGCTACATTTAGTCCCTAGAGGTGGGGGAACCTAAAAGAGCAATATTCAAGCTTTTTTTCCATCCTCCCCTTGCCTGGGACATTCTGCAGGATCCATACCATCTCAGGCAGTATTCCCACCAGAACAAGTCGGCAAACACGTACTCTGATGCGCTTGATTCCAGCTCGTGTGACTTGCTGGCAGTCGTACAGCTCAATTCTCTCCAAGTTGTGGCAGTTCTCCAGGTGTTCCAGAGTCACATCAGTGATGAGGAGACAGTTATCAAGCTCCAGCACCTGCAGCCTCTCGTGACCACATGTACTGTTGCTCAGATGAAGAATCCCATCATCGGTGATCAATTCACAGTGAGATAAGCTCTAGAATGGAAAGGCAAACGATTAAGTTACTCTGTTCTCTGAACATCAGAAGTCCTGTTCAACCTCCTTCACTCTAGTGTTTAAACAGCTAAAAAGAGCACACAGCTGAGATCTGGAAGAGTAACAAAAGAAACGGCTCTACTTTAAAAAAGGGCTGTACTTTAACTTTCCTGTGAGAACAAGTAGCATCCCCAAACACACATCACTGCCAAACCCCTCAAAATTTCCAAGCTCATAGAGAGCAAAGGGGCCTGTTCCAATTGTCATGCACCTCTGTTACTGACAGGTGCCAGAAACAAGAGACAACTTTAAAGGACGGTCAAGAACATACAGGAACAGATGAGGATCTACTGACATAAGTTACTGTTTCACAGCTACCATGTTTTCGTGCATACCAGCAGGACCAAGCCTGCGCAAGTCCACAGAGATAAACACCAACCAGACTGGCCTGATTTGCTCACTAATGATTTCAGGAAAACAGTGACCACACAGCACCCCTGCTTGTATATACAAGGAGTAATAAACATCTTCTACAGCTGCAGGAACAGGTCTTTGCTGCAACAGTGCAAGAAACTAAAAAAACCTCAGCTTCAGCATATTTTCTTACGCCCTTGAATTTCAAGAGCATGGAATAAGTTGCAGCATCTCGGGCAGCAGCACCACATAAAGCCATTTCCTGGTTCCTTTTAGGGAATTAATGACTTTTGGAGAAGCAATGATGTTGACAACAACAGGAAACAGACTTTCCTTGGAGGAGGCTTAAAAAACCACTCTTTGTCACCAGTGAAATGAATGCTCTGAAAACTTCTGCACTAGGAAAATGCAGGACCTATGAACTCCACTCCTCCCACCCTGGGTTCTGAGCTGGCTCCTTGCTTTCTGCTCAGCCCTATGTCTTGCCCGTACTTCTATTTCAGTCTAATGGTGACTGGTTCTGAAGTAGTACTTCCTTGCCACAGGCATTTTTCAGACAGCAACTGATGAAGAAACACTTGCAGCAATCTAAATGCACTTTTAAACTCAACGTAAGCTAACAGTAGTGCTCAAAAATACCTCCTGCCAATCATCTGAATCAAGCATGTAATCCTTCCCTTCTCTCAGTACAATACATCTACCTTCTTTTATTTCACCTTGACAAGGAAACCCAAGGACTACCAGCTGTGGCTTACCCTTATTGTACCCCAGCTACAGCCACAAGCCTACTACCAGACACATGGGGTCAGTTCCTGCCCCTTAGAAGAAGTTGCCTCTCAACTTTTTTTCTCCTCTAATGAACAGGATGAACAAGTGACCAGAGAAGAAGCAGGGAGAGAGGTCAAGTCTCCTTGGGTTGGATGGGGAGCCCCCCCAGCAGCTTCCCTTCAGCTGCTCTGATTTTACTCACTTACTCAGTGTGAGCGGCCAGCAGCAACTCCAAGCAATACCACAGTATAGTGCTCACAGACTCCAAAAGATAACAGAAATTAAGCACTTGCCCCTAACAATGCTTTACCACGTGACACGTTTACATTCTACAAGTCCATCAACTCTTTTAATACTTCAGTTCTCTCCAGTACCTACTTTCTTCACATACACATCCTGAGCTTTTGGTTTGGCTCACAGCCTGGAAACAATCAGCAGTCGCAGGGTTAAAGCACATTTATAACAGAGCTGCTGTTTCAAGGAAGGACAGGAGGTTATGTGAAGCTGCTGGCTATGGCAGCAGCCTCCTGGCTAATTAAGAGTTTTCCATCCCAGGAAGTAAGCAGCTTATAAAATTCAGCTTTCCTGAGACACTGTGTTTGGTACTGAAAGGACAATACAGGATGTACAGCTGAATGCGTAAAACTTTGTAAAATAAAGATGCCAAATGATGCATCTAATACTTTGTATTAAACCAGATGATTTTGCTGACTTCAGAAGCGTGACAGAAAGTGTTACTGAGGTGAAATTTTACAAAGGCAATTGCTTGAAATCTTTAGAACAAAGAGATCCAGTCAAATCAGGCTTTTTTGGGTTAATACTAAATGCTGCGTATCAATCAAATATAGCATGATAAACTGTGGCAGTAAGAAACAGTATGATCAACTTGACTGCAGAATTCAGTTGTTTTCTTACCTCCAGGACTATAATGAGTATTTCACAGTTTATCTAACAATTTGAAGGTACAATTTTAAAACACTTTTACCAGAAATTACTTAAGTCCAGTAATTAATAAAGCATCTGAGCACTATGATACTGACAAACATGTAATAGCTGGTTGTCATTGGTCTAAGTCTTTTGCTTATTTCCACTGTCTTCAAACACCAAGAAACAAATTCAAAGCTGATTACTGCAACTGCAAAATCCTTGTTTAAACTGCAAATATACCTAAACATATGCTAAAGCACAGCTACACTAGAGTTTACAGAACCATCCAACAGTTCAAGATTTCACATTTGAAGTATCAATACTAGTTTGCCCAGGACATCTGCCACCTGCTAGCCTGGTTTTTCTTTCCCTGTAACTCTCAGCCATTGCTGTTCACCTACAACTACTAAGTGTGTATCCTTCATATACACAGAATATACACACATCAACAAAACCCATCGATTTTTCAGGTTCCCTCAGAAAAGGGATGTTGTTTTACCAATGCCACACTTCCTTGTCTGTGGGCTATCACATAGAGATAAGCAAAGAGAAGCAGGTTCAGACAAACACTTTAAAGATAGAAGGTCTTATGATATATCTCTGGCGAAGACCTGGCTGAGCTGGTACCAAAGATCTCTTGCAAGAACTGGTTATTGCTGGAATTACAAAACAAAACTACATCTGTTATAGAAGAACAAAAAGTGTCCTGTCTGAATGGGTCAGCATATACTGTTTGGCTTCATGTGAAGAATTATGGTACAGAAATGAAGCTGGATAATTAATGAGCAAATATATAAAAAACCCCAACAAAACAACCGAGAAATAACAGTGACCAAGCTGCTTTTTAAAAGCCATCTCTCCTCATGTTGCTACCTTAGTAACATTGAGTTACTAACCCATCATAAGACAATTTAATTAATGAAGCAGCAAACCTTCTTTTAATCCCATCTAAGAACAGATTATAAAGACACTTGTCCTCTAAGGTACATTTGAAGTAGCAAATCTACACTTATGGGACAATTAGCTCCAAATAAAGGACCATCTATTGTAAGGACACTCTGGTAATTTTGTAGTACATCTTGACAGAAGAACAGCTGAATTTACATCACCTGAAATTGATTTTGGTGTTATGAAAGACCTAAGCAACCATTCCCTAAAAACCTGTTATTTGAAATACAGGAAGCAGGGTACCCCTCCCTCTGAAGGCAACTCAATCCCCTCCAATGATGTTCAAAAGTCTGGGCCAAAAAACCTTCCACAATATACTATGCAAATGTAGCCCCTGGGAAAAACTGCTTGAATGCAAAACTGATTACAGACTGAATACATTTATCTTCACTGGTTGGTTTTGTTTAATTACTATTTGACTTAGAATGACCCTAAGAAAACCATTACTGAACACTTAAGAGTATCTATAAAGGTCTGAATTCTGTAAGTTGCCAATGAAAAGTTTTATTTTACCTAGGTAATCAAATATGAAGGATGTTAACCACAAAATATAAGCTCACTGATTTGGTAGTATTTTTTATCACACAATGTATATAAATATTTTAGGACTAACCTGCTTCTTTTAGAATAATTAGGAAACTTGCAGATCTTTTGAACAGTATCATACTGCATGAGGAACTTTTTCTAGATCCGGAGTAAATTCCTTATATTGAAGGAGCTGTGTATATGTGTGTGGTTTTGGAAGGATGTATTAAAAGTGCACAATTCAAGAGTTAAACTTACCAATGCTTGTAGCTTGGGACAGTGTATAGAAAGTTGTATCAATGTGCTGTCAGTTATCTAGAAATAAAAAAAAACAAGCAGTAAGCAGTGGACACTAGGAGGGCCAACACTCACACAGGATCTCTCTTCCTCTACCAGAAGAAGGTTCTGTTATATCTGGAATACACTCAATCACCTGTTGCTCTTCAAATATTTCTATTAAAAAATTGGACAGAATTCTCACAAAAATATCATAAACACAGCATTATTAATAAAAAGAAAGCATTTAACTGAAAGAGCTAATGTTCTTATTGACACTGCATTCTTACACTGGATGTTCAATATTCCTTTTCATATAAAATCTCACCAAAACACATTCTTCCAAGTCCATCTTCTCCAGCTCATGGCAATTCTAAAATAAACAAAAAACAGATAAACAAAAGATGAAAGAAAACAACACGCAGATATAAAATCATGCAAAGGTCTAGTATTATGGGAAAGCACAACCTCCAAGAGGAAACCGTGAGCCAAGAATTCAATCACTATTGAAGGACATAAAATGGTAAAAAAAATAAAATAAAATCCACAAGCAACACAACTCCTCTAAATTTTCAGCCTTTCCCATACTAAGCAAAGTTTCTCCTCCGGGCCCTATTAGTTCTGTAAAAATATGTATGTGATCAGTATTGACCCATCCCTGCTCCTATTCCCCATCTTTGGGTCAATTTCAACTCCAACGTATGGTATTTACAGCCTGTGCATTAAAGCAAACTTCCCTGTGTACAGATGAATCCAGCTGCTACACACATCAACCTGCACCAATCCAATCTGAAACACACCCCTGTGAATCACCTCTCTTCACCATCATACTTTAGAAAGAAGCCTTGAAAACAATTTGCTTTGAATACTGAATGCAGAAAATATTAAAATAGGGTCTACCTTAAGGCTGGAAGAAAGCTGCACTTCCCATCTATGCAAGCAATTTCCCCAATATCCTGAGAGATCCCCAGCAAGCTGTTCCAAGTGCTTTCAGTATCTGATCATGACTCATTTCAAGAAAATGATGTAACCTTGTGACCTCGCAGCAGACCACATGGTGCCACAGCTTGGCCCAAACCTCAACCCCTGTTTTTCACACACAGGAAGAAATGGTTTAACTCACAGCTCCTCCCAAAATCAGGCTTGAGGTGACTACCAAAAAGCCCAAGGCTGTCGTGCTGAACTGTTAGAAACCACTGTGCCTAGAAAAAAACCCTTTCTTTCCCACTAAGGATCAGCAGCACAAATGAATCCTATTTACAAATTATTTATTTGTGTTCAGATTTCCTAAGCTAGCAAGCATGTCAGTCCAACTGGTAGCATTTGATGCCCTCAATGTGCTTATTTACATATTTACAGCATGAATCAGGGCTCAAGTGCTTACAGTTCATAATGTATAATGTAAGTATTTCTGTAACTTAAAGGTATGTTCAGAATAATCTGTTGTATGTTGTTTTTTCTGTGTGTCCAGAATAATCTGTTATATGGTGGTTTTTCTGGGTATCAATTTCACAAGGGTATATGTCATCTTTATAGAGGAAACTTGGCTAGAGTATGTAACACAAGTTTAGAATTATGTTAAGCATAATAAATTAAATTGAAAAGCGCACACACACACAAAAAGAGGGGAAAAGTGACAAATTCAATGATAGGGCAAAATAGATGAAGTTGCAGCTCACACACACACACACAAAAAAAGAGGGGGAAAGTGACAAATTCAATGATGGGGCAAAATAGATCAAGTTGCAGCTTTAAGTATAACCCAGAAATCAAATCACTTTTTAGCCCCCTCCTCCACTGGATTCTTCCTACTTTATTTTTCTTCTTCTCATATTCCTTCCCAGCAGGGCTACATCAACTCACAGCTGCTCAGCAGCAATGAAAACAAGGTGAGGTCTAACCTTCTGGAATGACACTTACCCGTGCTAAAAGAGTAAAACCAGCATCTGTAAGATGGGAACATCTTGCAGCTTCCAGAATCCTTGAAATGTTTGAAATGTTAAAGAAAACATTAACACAGAGAACGGCAAATACATTTGAGATACAACTTCAAGCTCTCAATAGCAACTGTAGTTATATATGCCTGTTTTTCACAGTGACTTGCAGTTATAAAAGCACTAGGCAGACTTTTGACCTTGCCTATCAGAAGATTCACACAGTCACAGAAAAGATTAAGTTCAATCCTCAAATCTTCTCAACATTTAGTGGAAAAAATTATACATAATTATACGCATTTTAATGTCAAGTCAGCATAATGCTCAGGTTTTCTCTTGGTATCTGAGGAAAGATACGGGAGAATAAACCTGGAGCTGAGGAAAATGCAGATGAAGCATCTAAAACCTTTTCTCTAAACACAGGATGTTGGGGAGCCACAAAATGGAGAAACTGCTTCCTAGAAATTCACTCAAGAGCCTTAGTATGAAGTGAGAAACTGCTTCCTAGAAATTCACTCAAGAGTATGAAGGATAGTGATGCCAGTTACCAGAAAGGAAGAAGCTTAAAATCTCCAAGCCCACAGTAAAAACAATAAACTACACCAACACAATCTTAAAAACCCACAATAATACACTGTTTTAGAAAGACAAACCTAGCACTCTCAGGAGGCACTGGGAAGCAGTACTGAGAGAAAAACAACAGGTCAGCTGCCCCACACTAGTATGTAGAACAGGCCTTCATCCCAATGATGTTTTGTGATCTTTGTTTTCTTTTTTTTAATTAAGACTTTTTACTTTGCAGATGGAGGACACAGCTGTATCTTGATGTAGGGCAAAACCAATCAGCTGAAGGGCACTGGTCAAGCTTAAGGGTTTTTTTTTCAAGAAAATGTAATTTGTGAGTGATAACAGCTGCAGAACACAGCAGTATCATGGAAAGCAGCACAGTAGGACACCAAGTGAAGTGAAGAGTAGCACACTACAGAAAATACTCAAAAAGCTTCCTAACAGGGCCAGCACATCCAACAATGGCATTTCCCTTTGATTTCCAACACAATTTATATCAAGTACCTTCCATACACGATCCCTAAAGTCTAGATGTAACCAGCTGTATCATCTGTCCTTTCATCACACGGTCCAGCGCAGTAATTACTGCAAAGGCTCATTTTTTCCTTACATTGGAGAAGTGTAAGGAAGGAGAAGAACGGCAGACGCCTTCCCCCTCGTGGCACAGACAGGGGCTGACAGTTTGCCCACCACAGTCAAAATTCCTGCTACCGTTGCACTGCTTTTGGAAAGAATTGCACAACTAATAGCACTTTAGACTTCCTTTTATTTCCAGTCTGAGCTGTCAACTGAGAGAAATTGTGGAAAAAGACCAGTAATAACAGCCCAATTTCCTAAGGTACACAATTTAGTGTGTCTGAAAGACTCCTGAGCCCCAAACAGAGGCACACACAGGCTCTTAGAAGTATGAACACTTAAATGAAAGGGACTGTCACTCTGGAATTGTCTTAAGGACCGGTTTTCTACAGTAACAAAAGCTCTTTTTCACGCAGTCAGCTTAACGAAGGCTGCCTGAGAGTGTATCACACACACTGACATTGGAATGTAGCCTCCCCTCATTTTTACAAGCTACGCTTCCCTCTATTAATCTGGGATTGTGACTCCTGAATGTTCCTGACATAAATCGCAATGTGATGTCATCTGAAAATCTTATGTATTGAATTAATCTACATTAGAATTAGACCTTACAAGAAGTACTACCTGTCTCTACGACCAGACAGCTGCTGCATGACTGAGCTCCATTATTAAAGCTGACACTCTCCCCACGTCTGAAAATTACGCCCATGTAAAAATGTATATTCTTTTTCACTGGTGAGCTCCTAATACTGAAAATGTATCACAGAAATACCAGTCCTTGCAGAGAGACATGAGCACACTCCATATCAGAATTTAAGAATGCCAGGATGTACTGCTGAGCATATTAAAAACATGCTTATACAAAAATCTGTAAATATAATACTCAGGTATGATTCAGCTATCTTTTTGCAACACAAACAACTGCATAAAACCACACCAGAGCACAAACATCACAAGACACAACACAACTACAGATATTTTACCCTTAAAAAAAAAAAATAAAAATAAAGGGCTTTTTATTTTATCTTCTCTTCTTCTGGCTTGTAATTAGTACCTAAAATATTTAGCTCGAAGCACAAACTGAACTGCTAGGTTCAACATTATTTCTCATATATTAATTCTGTTTTTTTCCAATACACAGTGGGCTACATCCATATGATAGCTACAGAGGACCAGACTTCAAGTTTATATTCAGCTGGTATTTCTAACTTCCTGTTTTGATGCAGAGGTAACAGAAGCAACACAAAGCTACATCAAACCTGTGAATATCAGGTGATAATCTTCAGAAGTGAATTTCTTAGATCAGGCCAGTAACAACATAACACACTCATGACACACTCATGACATACTCACTTCAGCCTTGGACAGTTTAGGCCCAGTGCTGTGAGAGAAGCATCTGTAAGGTTGCTACATCCTGAAACACAGAGAGACTGAAGTCTGTGACATCCTCTACAGATTTTTACAATGCCTTCATCTGAAATTTGCTGCAACACAGAAGAAGGTTGAAGTTACTTCATTATCAAGCAATCAGCTAATAATAAAATTTAACTCATGTTATTAAACTGTTAGTATCATGCTTTATATAACCATGAACACCTGTGTTTTTTCAACCAAAAAAATATCATGTTCATTGCTAACGTTGCAGATAACCAACACACACAACTCCTACTTATCTACGTATTTTTCCACAGATCTCAAGGCCTGCTCAAAGGCAGTCCGAGGCACAGAGGGAGAGCTCTTTGTTGTTGACTTCCTCTTCAACTTTGCTCATGTCTTAGAATTTTAACTTTTTTTTTTTTTTTCTTTAAATTGTAGTTGTCATTGTTTTAAATCAATTGCTGCTTCTGTGTAGGGTTCAGGTTTGTTGTTCCTGTAACTGTGTTCATTCAGGAACAGTGCAAAAGACAGCTTAAACAGCTCAACAGCAGGAGAGCCAACTATTTTGCACTGGAGCAGTAGAACTCAAGGGTTAAAATTCTGCATCTCCAGATAATTATCAAAACAAGAGTAACAGGTAAACATTTATATATAACACATTCTTCACATAAGATAAACACAAAAGCCTGAGTTGCCCTGCCATATGCAGCTGTCTTCAGCTGAAAAGATTTAACTCAAAAAAAGTTTTTTCATTTCTCAAAATTGTTTTGTACTAGATAGTCTTAAAAACAGTAACTCTAAATTGGGAAAATAAATAGAAAACTTTTCTCTCTGAAATAAGGACTATAAGAAATAGCCCCGATGCAGCTGCACACAAAATAGCAACAGAAACTAGGGTATTGGGTGAGTGTGCAAATATTATTTTGTTTACAGGTCTTCTATTCTGGAAGGAGTATTCTCTCCTCCTCCCATTCCTGACTCAAAAAATTTAATTTTTCTGCTGAATGACTAATACTTCATGGTGAGACAGGTTACTTTATTTCCTAGCCTAATATTACTCTTCCAATGACAACAAAGAACTCTACTGTATTTGGAACTGAAAAGACACACTCCTTTTATAAGCCACTCATCTAGGTACAGTAATACTACTGTAGCATGTTTCTGAGGCTATTACCACAAGCATTACCTTTCATAGACAAAAACAGGATGAGAAATAGCAGTAGCTCAGCACAAAGGGAGACCACCTTAATGCCTCCTCCCCCATCTCAGCACTTTTTAGTATCAGTACATCTGCAAATTGTTCTGCCAAATAAAACTTATTCCAGACAAAAAAAATAGAAGCCTTGTCTTCTTTTTGTGGATTGAGAAGAATTTGCATCATCTACAGAAAAGAAGATCTTTTCTGGAAATGTTTTGCTCCCTTTGACAGAGAGTAATTACACTATTCTTGGGAAAAGGAACTATTTTGGAAGCAAGGAATATTTCAATTTATGCTGTTGCTGGAGATGGACATGATATTGAATTTCTTTATGAAAGTTTTCCACTCTGAAATGGCCTGTGATTTCAATGACTACATCCCTCTCAGGAAAGGAAACTGCTCAAAAAATGCCTGCAAGTCCCCAGTTTCTACACTCCAAAGATCGTACCTTTCAAATGTGCAGTTTTCAGAGTTAGTATCAGTTAGTATCCACAGCTTCTGGAGCTGGCCTGGTATTTTACAAGATCCATAAAACAGAGCCAGTAGAATTAAAGTGTGGATCACACAAAGCATGAAGGGACCTGCTTCTGGTAACATGCTTCTAAAGCCACAGGAGGAGGACACATCTCCAGGGAAACAAAACTTTAAAGCACACATAACTAGGTAGGACACCCAGACTATCAACTAAAAAATTTCAAAGGGAAAAATTATTTCACTCATGAAGGCTGGTTTTTTTGTTGTTGGTACTTAATACCTACATGACAAAAACTGGCCATGGGAAAACTCTGGTACATTTCTATTCCAGTGCTCCTTTTCAGTGGGAGAAATCATAACTGACTGTCATCAGACCTCTTGAGAGTTTACCACCAAAAGGCTGGCCTTGCTATGTCCCATTAGTCTCAGATAAAGCACAAGAAGGACAGCAAAAGAAAGAGTGAAAGGGGAAGAAATAATGTGCTGCCTTTAATTTTTTAAGTGTGGTTCTCACCAAAAGTAGGAAGTTCCTTTCATTCTCATTATCTTTAGGTGCCCAACTTCAGTGAGCACCTGAATTTAGACTGAAGAGTCTGAAAATTCTCTCTTTCATTAAACATCTGTCTCATGGAAGCTCAGGCTTTGTATTAATCTTGTTCTTAATTTCTGCATTTTCTTTAATGTAACATTTAATAGTCCCTAACACTCAAAAATCTATTGGAACCAAAAATTTTCATCCAATCTTAATAAAAAATGGTCCCATGCCACATTAATTCAGGAATACCACAAGATTTGAAAGTTTTAGGCCAAGCAGTTTTATGATACATTCTAGAACTAAAACTGTAGAAAACTTTCCAAAAACAAATAAGCTCTCCCCAAAAAAACCCATCAGAACAAAACAAAAACCAAAAAACTCACAACAAAAAGCCTAACAACATTATTCAAATTTGAGTGAAACACTGGAGTTTCTAATGTATTTAAATATTTTCTAAGGCTTATTTATAAGGACTGACTGAAATACATTTTAAAAATCTAAAAGGAGATCTTTCCCATTCCTGAAAACAAAAAAGGAAATATAAAATACAGCAAGTTTCATTTTTGTGTATTCTCTAAGTAGTATTAAAACTACATCATAGATTCCCAGTCATTTCACTACAAATGCATGTGTTCTTCCATTACTACTGAAAAAGCACGTCCTTCTCCTGCTAACAAAATGGTTCTCAAACATCTCCAGTTATGATGCCATTAAATTTTACTCTCAATTATGTAGCCCAGAATACGGCTTCTGCTCAATCAAAAACTTTAAAATTGTGAATAGATCAAAACGTTTGACCTCAGGGATGGGAGAACAAGATTTTCATCTGTAAAACTGCATGGTTTAGTTCATACACAGTTAATGGGATTGAATCAATGCAGTTAATTCTTACTCTAGAGCTTGCTACAGTTACAAGATGTAATGAGAGGAAAAAATCCCCTAGCACTCCAAATCCACATTCAGCTGTAGCAACAGACAGCTCATTTAAGACCAGTATTCCATAGAAACTTCTGTAAATTGCTGAGATAGACTATTTGAATTATTTAGATGTGCAGCAGCTCAATTCATTAGCATTTAAAAATGGTTTATGATCCTTAGAGAACGTATCTTTTGAACCTTCAAATACTTACTGTACAGGATTGCAAATTCAGGATTACAAGTTCATGACAGTGATTTTGAATGTGTTTCAATGCTTCATCTTCTAACTGTATTAGCAATTAAATTGGACATAGGAAAAGAAACAAGAAATTAAAAGCACAGCAAAGTAGCCCAAGGAATGTACACATCTTGTAATATTGAACAAAAGACTATAACAAAAATGGCAATTTTTAATTCATGGAGATTTCAAAAACCCAAAATAAAAATTTTATTCCTAAAGGATCACCCAAGCAGTTATGTACCTGTGTGCAACCTCTAAGAAATAGAGCTTTTAGTCCACTACACCCTTTCACCAGTGCTTCAATACCATCCTTCGTAATCTGATCACACCAGGAAAGATTCAAATGTTCCAGATTTCTGCAACCCTCACTGGGAGAATTAAGAAAATACATAAAGTTAAATCCAGCCTTCAAATAGTCATAACAGTGGGAAACCCAAATTAAACACACTGTTAGAAATTAATGATAGCCAGTGGACCGTACCAGGCCTCCACAAAAACATCATGAGAAAAGACCACACACAAACATCATAATCTACACCCAAGAAGTGCTAGATACAGACTATTAAGGTTCGGTACTGATTTATTAAACTTTATTAAATGCTGAACTGCTCTTTAAACACTTTTCCTTAATACAAAACATTGAATCTTCTTACCTTAAGCCTTTCAAAGAGTTGTTTGTGATGGCTACGCAAGATGTCAGATCCAGATGTTTCAGCTTGGAACAGAATCTGCTAAGACTGTAACACGTGCTGCAAAACAGCAGACACACTAAAAATACCTTCAGCTACTTCTTTTTCCAAATTTCCTCATCAAACAAAAAACCCCTTTGACTTACCTGTCAGTGATTTTTGTGCACCCGTTTAGATTTAAGTGTTCGATGTTTCTACAATTCTGTGCAAAGGTCCTAAAACAGCAACAAAGAGCTGAATTAATATCATGTCACAAGTTGTAATACAGTCACTAGAGAGCGCTCTGCCACCTACCTCCTCCTATAATCTCAGTCAAAAAGCTTAATCTTCAAGCCACAGAGTAATTACAAACTGCATCTCAAATGCTTCTCAGTGGCTGCTTTTTCCTTTTGTTACTGGAAGTTTGTGTCTTAGGTAACTCCTGAAACGAAGAGTAGTTCCTCTCTCAAATACCACTTGAGCAAAGTGTTTATTTCTGTCTGGCTCATATATGAGCCAGAACTAACTTGCTTCACATGCCTTAATAAAACCATTAAGGGCACAAGGAGAAAGGTACATAGCACATCGGTTAAATATTAAGCTGCCGGGAAGAGTTTTTGCACATCGCATTACTGAAGACTTTACAAGTCCTATCAAGGAGGTCACATCAAATGAAAAGGAACATATCCTGTGCAATACAGAAGTGGGACCTAAGCCTACCAGATAATCAGTGGAAAGCCCGATGGGTTGCAAATCAGTTATTTATTATTTCAAAACACAAAATGCAAATGTGTGCACTACTGGGTATGAACTCTAACCATAAATGAAGCTATCATACTGTTATCAGCCTGTATGTATAATTATACTAATTACCCAGAAGGAATACATAAACTTTCTTGTCATCTCTGCAGAGTAATATTTACAGCTGCATTGCATTTCAGAACACTGTTTTTATGCCCATGTATCCTCCAACTGCATGGATTTTATTGGCAGGGGTAGAGGAAACACACAAAAACAGTTTTGTCTGGAGGCTTGCCGTGGTTAACAGATCCAACTACACACTCAGCTGGTAACAACCTCCTGGCTCTCCAGTGTGGATTGAAAACAATGGAAAAAACCCCAGCAAGCAGTTACACTGGTGAGAGTTTCCACTTGAATTCTCAAAACAGCAATTCCAAAATTCATGCACTGGAGGGAGATTTACAATCGAGACACTCTTCAAATCACTTGGAAAGACACTACACTATGGAATACCTCGCAGGAATAGCAAACTTTGAGATTCAAATATCAGGCATCTCCTGACAGAGCTGTCACAAACACTGAGTGCTTACAGAGCCAATACCTACTTTGGTAATTGGCTATTTTTAAACAAAAGTTGATATAGCAGAAGGATAAATAGAAGAATTATCATCCACAAAACTAAAGGATCTCAACACAAAAAGCCTCATAGGAAAAGATGCTTTCAGAACAAGTATCTGAAAATTAATGCCACCTTTCTCATGCTACTGTTTTGAAAGTCTGATAGGTCTTGCATTTATCATAAATTTCATTAATTAATTTATTAATTTCAATTTATATGTATTTCTGAGTGCCACCACCTTCTGCACCAGTTAGTTATCATGGATAAATACCAGTATGAATACTGGTAACACACCGGTAGCTGGTATCTGCTAGGCCTGTACTTATTTTAAGTATCTGTTTACTAAATATATAACTACTTTAAAAGTATCTCCAAGCCCTTCTCCTCATCTCATACCACTAATAAACCCACTGACAATTTTTGGGCCTGTTCACAACCCACATTGCAGTCCCTTAGCCTTACTGTCCCGAAAAGCACAGCTGGGAACCAAAAACAAACATGAAAACTGACTCACTGGGGGGAAAACTGTTACTGCCCTGACTCCTTCCCATACCCTTCTCATTGCCTTTCCCACTACCTCCTCCCTGCAGCAGTTGCTACCTCTCTCAGAGCCTGCCTTTCCTCTCTCCTCCACTTCTGCTATTGTCTTCCCTACTGGGGACACCGGGACTGTCGGCATGCTCTGAAACTTGGAGGAGCACTGCAGAAAGTTAACTCTGGTTGGGGCTACCTCTTTTTTGACAGCAGTTAGTTGCCAGTAATCTGGGAGATGGTAATAATACACACTTTCCCTTGAGAAGGCACGACTGCTTGAAGGTGGAGACACAAGATGGATCAGTTAGGGAGATGTCCTAGAGGCAGGGAAAGCTCTTGGGAAATCTCCAGAGCTGAAGCCAGGCTGCTAATTTGGGTTGCTAAAGAGATCTATTGCTTAAACCGTTGCTGGATGAATTTACTCTAGAGACAAATATCAGTGAATTTGACTTACACATTTTAGAAATGAGCTAAAGTTCACAAGACCCTAACTTAATGCCCACTGCCTAACAAACGTTTTTTATGCATTTTTATTTTCCACCTAAGAATGGCCACACTACGTCAGACTGAACACCATCCAGCCAAGTCTCCTCTGACAGCTCAGGAAAGCGTAACTACAAAAAGCCATGCCCCAGGGCTTTCTCCAAATATTCTTTGAGCTCTGAAGTACTTGTAGCTTAGAGATTCTTCAGCTGGAGGTAGGGTCTTTGGGTTGAAATACTCGCAGAAATATCCACAAAGGAATCTGGCTAAACAGTTTGCATACAGAAAAAGCTTATATGGATCCAAACTGTCTTCTGGGAACAAACTGCACAATTCAGTTTATATACCATGTAAAGAAGGGGGAGCACTGTCTCTGTTAGAGACTCCCAAGATGTTCCTGTTGTCTGCCTGTCTCTGTTAGAGCAAGAAGAGAATCCCAAGACTTTCCTGATTTTGCAGGTACTCAATTGTATCAGTCTCTATTCTTCCTCCCATCGCTACGGTCACCTCTTGTCCAGACTAGCAGATAAACTATACATTGACTGACTACTACTCTTAATGAAATTAGTATTGTAGGATGCCAGAGTATAGGTCTGAAAACATTTTAACTGCTTGAAAATAGAAAGATATCAATGTAATACTAATGAACAAAAAAGGCATTTCTGAAAAGCATGGTTCTCATTCCTTACCTCATTGCCAGAAAGTAACAGTAGCTATACTTTTGAACTCAAACTGACATGTCATTTAGTCATTATTAAGTTACTTAGAACTTAGTTAAGTATCCCATTTTGGTCATTAGTCAGTACTGAGAAATCCAAACAAATATAACAATAATTGCTTTTGGTCCAGGCATGAGGAAATGAGTGATGTCTCAAACTACTAGGACTTTACTTACTTTAAAGAGGAGTCTCCAACACCAAGACATCCTCTCAGACTAAGTTGCCTCAGGAACCCACCGCACCTTTTCGATATATTTTCCACAACACGACCCTTAAACCAAACAAAAGGAAAATTTTGTTGAGTTTTATCCTGATGTAACATTCTAAACAAATTAAAAATGTGGCACTGAAGACCAGCCCAGCTACACCCCACCAGAACGACACCTCTTTTGCCACTTTAAGAAAGAACACTTACCTATTGAGAATCTCCACTCACATTGACATGCTACTCAATTCAACCTTTAGACTGCTAATATGATTTTCTAGTTTTGTCAGATGTGTGGAGAGCCTGAAGAACTGCTACAGAGGTAGAGTAGGAGGCATACCCATTCCTCAAGGATCACAGATACTACTACAGTGTGTAAGCTTAACTTGTCCTAAAAGACTTAGGCTAGTACATCACTCTGAACTCCAGCCTCTGATAACTCCTGTTTTACAGTCCCTGCTATAGGGATGGGTTACCTTCTGCAACTGAAAAGTGATTAATACCTTGGTGGGACCAGCCATGTCAGATGCCTCCTGAAGATCTGCCGGAGCCAACCTGTGCCAGTATTCAAAGTCAAATATATTTAAGTGTTTACACCTAAAACTTGGAAATGCCAAAGAACTTCTCACACTGTGAAGCTTAGAGACTTTACACCTTGTCATTTCTCAAAAGCTGAAGCACAGCATACAAATGAAACTTCCTACTTGACCCCACATTTGCTACCAAATGCTTTTTATTTACATCCTGAAAGCATGTTTTGCTGTACATTAGGAGTAAGCAGAATGGCACAGGAATTCTAATATTCAATCACAAAGTAGCATTATGGAAACGTTATTTAAACTATAATAAAAGTATACTTTTTCTTTTATCCTTTTTTTTTTGGTGTCTACTGCAAAAACCAATTAGACATCACATTGTCTCAATTTTAGGGAGGTAAGGTAAAATAAATCAACATTGATCATTTAAGAAACAGGACTAATATATAAAAGCACCTTTTGTTTTCTGCTCTCTCTTTTTTAAAGAAGGAATACTTAAAACATTACATTTCAGTGGAATTCCACCCCCACACCCTACACAGGAAAGTAACAATGACACTGAAACAATAAAAGGTTTCTTACATTTTGTAGCACTATGTGAAAAGATTTTCTAATCAGTTTGTTTCTTAATCCGTAAGTAATATTGTTTATCTTATCTCTCAGAACAATGTACATGAAAACAAACTACAAATCCTTACACAAACAAAATTATGTATTTTTCAAAGCTTCCTGATTAGTTAAAACTACTTCTTGGTGGACCCCAAATATCTTTACAGTAAAGATTAAGTTTTTAATGAATAGCATATAACTCAAGTTCAATTTATATTAGAGAAAAAAACCCCACAAATTTAATGCATTATTCAACAATAAGAGGAAAAAAAAGTTTTCCCAAACCCATTCATTTCCTTAAACACATAAAAATCCCAAACAATATATTTAAAAAAACCCAAACAACTGAAGTGCATCCAAATGTATTTAGCTCCTTGTGTAATTCAACGTCACTCAAAAAACAACTTCTTCAAATTACCTGGGTTCCACATACCAAGAAATCCTCAGGCACATTTAACTTCAAGATGATCTTCACACATCTTTGTGATAGAAAAGAAACATTTTCTCTCCCCCCCCCCTCACCTTTATTCTCTACCACGAGGTTTTAAATATGGTAAATTTCACAAGACCTTATTTTTCATTATGTGATAGTCTCAGATCAAGTACTGCTTGGTGCTATGTGAAATATCACCAAACAGTACAATGTCCAACTGAGCAAAAAGTTGCCAAAGACAATTATGTTTTTACCTGTCTTAAATCTAAAGGTAAAAAAATAGTTATATAAATCTGCTGGAAAAAAAACCCCAGAGTTCTTATACACTAAACGTGAAAAGTGTCTCTCATTCAAAACTACTTTATGTAATAATTGCCAGTTTAACATACTCATGAATAAATTTAAGGGGTTTATATTACAAATGTACTTAAATATAATATACTAAAGTAACTGAATTGCTCTAAACCACAATAGCTTATTATAGCAAAAGAGGATCTAACTGAATTTCATTCCTTCTCCTGAATCCTACGCTAGGATTCTCCTGAATCCAAACGTAGCATCTCAAAGGGCAACATCACTAGATACAATGTAAGACAAACATACTGAGAACAAAAATCTAATACTGTATTTCTAGATAGCAGAAAGGTTTCAGACACAGAAAAGACTTAACCAACAGAAGGACTACAGGCCTTTGGTTTTCTTCATTACTTCTTAGCAAATGAGAAACATGAGCTCTTTTAAAGGCAACTGAAAATATGACATTAAAGCTCCAAGTCTTCTTATATACATTTAGATACAGGCAGATGCCAAAAATCTTTCTGCTGCTTCTGTAAGATCCTCGTGTTTAACATCACTATAGGAAAGGAGTTGGCAATAAAACTATAAAAGACCAGGGAAAAAAAATTACCCTGTGTATTACTGCAAAGCTTTAGGAACAGTTCGAACCACGGTTAGCAAAATACAATAAATGAAACCCATCTGGATTTTATTCATACAACTAAGAAGCCAAAACATAAAATCCAGAAGCAAATTCATTGTTGTATTCTAAATTAAATTTGTATCAAACAACAAATAAGAAACCAGTTCAGATTAAATTAACTAATTGTATTTCCCCATGCATGTTCGTCTTCATTCTCAGATGTCATATTTTATTTTGATGTGCACATCTATGATAGCATTAATGCAAACATGTTTTTCTTATGGAAGACAAGACTGCCCCAATCCTTTAATTGTATGCTGAAAAGGACTTTAACAGACATCTAGCTGCATTTCAGGCAAGGTTCAAACCTTATAAAACAAATGCTCCTAAAATGGTAATCTGACACAAACCACATCCAATCTAGGCAAGACAGTGGTAAGAAAAGTTCATCAGCATTTTATTGTGTCGATCTCAAAGTCCTGCAGCCAAGTGCTCAGAGAGCTTTCAGCACTAGATGGCATCCTCACAGAGAGACTCGGGACCACCAACAAAATTATCCTCTCGATTATGAAAGTGGTTTGGAGGATCTCGTTCAGCCCAGAGGCACCAAGTATACCTTTACTTTCTGAAAATGAGCATCTTTGAACTTCTAAAGCCTTGCATGTATATCTTATATGTAAATGATCTGACACATAGCTGGCAACCAAAACTGAAATATTCAGCCGCTGTAAAAACCAAATAGAGTTATTTTTCCTTGTGCTCCTTCACACTATTATTATCTTAAAGTTTAGCCTTTAAAATGTGTGAACACAAGCACAGTCTATGGGATACTCAAAATGAGATAATGTTTTTACACATCACCATAGGAATGAATTAAAAAAAACCAAAGATACTAACCTCTATGTCCGTTTGAAAGTTAAAGAGGTCTATTCTTTGCCAGTTGCTTCCATCCAGAGCTAAAACATTCCATGCCTGCAGAAAACAAAAACAGTTTATTACCGCCACTGCCTGCTCCCTTAATTTGCCTCCCAGCAATTCAAATGTAACAAATTCAAATATAACAACATATGTAACTTCAGGTAGCATTAAATATATACATATATATATATATATAAAATTGCAGATATTAGTAGTCATACAATATAAACTAGTTTAAAACACAGAATTTGTGGAAATTAATCTTAACTGTCATAAACCAATTACACCTCAAAAGCTAACTTATACCCATAAAACATGCAGGAAAGCAAAAAAGTAAATGTAAAATACATACATGGACACAGCAAAAATTATCCCTCCATTTTAGAAAGAGCTTTTATATATTTGTCTAGTAAGTTACTTTTGCTAGATCTATATGGAGAAAAGTAACTGCAGATGAGATTCCTTCCAATAAAACCACAGTTCCTCAACCTCACTAGTTACTATTCTGAGACGAATAGAAACTTTTCAGAAAACTGCTGACTTTCCACTGTTAAGATCAGGCCTTTCCTTTACACGTGCTAAGTTACACATATGTGTTTCACACTTTTTCCTTCACTGCTAAAAAAACAGTTGTTCAAAGTAAAACAAAATAAAAAAGACAGAGCAACACAAATATACTCAGAAAAACAAACACAAAAAAATAGTTCTGCATCCAACTGACAGTTCTGAGACAAAACCACAACTTATTCAGCCACCTTGGTTTTCTTCCACTGCATTCTAGGCTTTAGCTGAAGGTTCTAAGAAAAGTTGATATTAGTTTTAAAAACTTACTGAGGTTGCAGGCTGGGGTGATAAGGGTGTAGGAATCAAATGGGTACATACTTAATTATGTATTCAATCAAACAAACAAAGAAACTCTACAACAACAAAACCAAAACCCAATCCTCATTGAAAGAAGGAATACACAGGTTAATTCATGTCGTATTAGAATGCATTTTACTGTACCCATCTGAGGTAGGAACAAAGTATTTTTGGTTTTTACTCAAGAAAAAAACCAAGACAAACCAAACAAACCAAACATAAAAGCTTACTTAGCATGCTCTATTATCTTGTGTGCCTTTTCCTCCTACTAGCAGTCCGTCTACTTAACACCTTTTGTACTTGGCAAGCAAACGATGGATGTATTCCTTAGACACATGGTGCACATTAACCAAACTATATGGAATTTTAAGCAGAAAATGTGTCTGAAAACTAGTGTTATATAGCCACGTTTTATGAAAAGCAAATGCCATTATGCCAAACCAGGCTTAATCCTTTCTCCAGATATAGAACATACATTACTGGATATCTTTTCCATAGGCTTTAAAAAGAAGTCCAGTACATAGCAACTAATTCCACATCTGAATGCAAAACTGGATTCACTGATTATTTGTTTTAATAAACAAAGAGGTTGAAAGAATGTATTTTAAAATTATTTATTTATTTGTTGTGACAGAAAGCAGATTGCCCTAAAGCCAATGATTTGCAAGTTTCCCAAAGAACAACAAAACACCCCAACAGAAATACATACCTTGGAAACTTGTGCACATCGACACAAAGTAACTATGTCCAAGAAAGAAAATATTCTAGGAAGAAAGGAAAAGAACAATTTAAATGTTTTAGTATAAATTCAGACTAATACATGGATTCCCAGTTCCGTAGCTCTACGGAAAGACACCAGCTCCACAAGAAGCAAGTTAAATGCACTCTGAGTGTTTCACCAAATTATTTTACTTACTGACACTTAAGGAATAATATCCTAGCTGTCATCTAAAGACAGTCAACACTAACATATTATAATCAGCAGGCGCTTCTTCTGAAGATCTGTTTCATGTTTCCCCTTCCTCACTAGCCAAACATGTATGAACAAGAAATTCTTTTTTCCTCTGTAAAATTCAGAGAAAATGCTTACATACCTTTGATTGGGTAAGTAAATAACTTACACAAATACAGATTAAGATTTTGGAAGCTGGTGAAAATAAGAGATGGAAAACACCACACAGATAAAACTGGGCTCAAGAGCCTAAGTCCTAACACAGAGATTTTCACAGTGATTACGAATCTAAAACAGTCACTACGTTTTTTTAATTCACCCTACAAGAAACAACTACAATTCAAAATTTAGAATTACTATTCTGATCACAGAACCAGTTCCTCAAGGCTGCCAACTCTTAATAGTTTTCTGAAACAAATTTTTCACTGTCAAAATGAATTTTGCTAAATACCATTTCCAAACAACAGTGAAACCAGTTCAAAGGCTGAAAAAAAATCATTAGTTTAAGATGAAATCATAGATCCTATTCCAAAAGCATTTTCTACTCTAGAGAATGAAGATATGAAATATTTAAAAGATGCTACTGTAATTCACATAAACTGTTAACCTGCTTGCCAGTGAACTTTTTCAGTCATCAAAACAATGAACAGTAATAATAATTTCATCTGACAATGAGATGTTAATACTATGGAGCAAACAACTGGTAAGAGAACCTGAATTTAATAGTGTAAAATTCTGATTGGTATTTTCCAAGTGGAAACTTGAATTCAAAGCTTGAAATGTCTGCCTACATCTTAAGCGCTATGATTTTTAGCTGTGGTAAGAGTAAAAAAAATGTAATGGAGGTGAATGAAAGTATACAACAGTCTTCTGGACATTTATTATGATCACTCCTGAGATTAATTTTCCAGTATTTCATTAACACATGAAAACACTTTCTCTTTTTCACTGTATAGCAAGACATTTTCTCCAAAAAATATCAGTCATACAAACAGAAGGACAAACATACTCAGAACTTATGAAATTATTTATAAAACCCTGCAAATCATATTTATATTCATAGCATCTATTTTGTCATTTGAACATCCATTCTGAGGTCTGCCCACTGTAAGAAACAGCAGTGTTTCATACATAAAGTGCACATCTAATGTGCTCAGCAAGACTGCTGGACTGTTCAGATGAGCAGCGAAAGCATTCTCTCTCTTAAGAGCAGCATTTATACCAATGACTCACCATGAACCCTCTTCTCAGGTCACTTTTCCCCCTGACATGAGGCAAATGACAGAAGTGAGAGTGTGGAGATTACACTTAGAGAACTGCAAAAGCTTCTTGGGGTGTAGAAGCTTCCTCGAAGTACCAGTGTACGAGTGGAATCAGAGGGCTGTCTGAGATTTACAGAAGCTGAAGCACAGAAGACAGATTTCTACATTTGTAGTAACTAACGAAGGAAGGGTTGTGACAAATCACTTCATGACACAATACTCTTGCCTAAATAAAGAATGTGACATGCTTTAGAAGTGATGTATCAAGTTCTGTTGAAACAAGAAGTAACTGAAGGAACTGTAAGATGCTGAAGAAGGATATTTTATACATGCCCACTACTCTTAAGTTGTCTGGCAGTCTGTCTTCATGTTTGATTGTCTATTGCTATTAAGAGATTTATGTTGATGCATGATTTACAAAAGTAAATTAAAACCAAAAGCAGAACAGATACATTTATTTTTGCTCCACTCAGTATGAAGTAACTTCTTTAAAAATCAAAAACTAGAAGTGGTGATTCTGTGTTAAAAGGATAAACATTTTAATAAGTGGAAACATTCATGATGCTTTTAGGCTTTTATTTTTGTTCTAAAGAAGAAACCTTCTTGCAAGGCAGCTCAAGCTGTCCCCATCAAAATATATAACACTATAAGGATGCATTAAAAGACAGCAAAATCAGAAGTATTACTATTCAGTCAAATACTATTATAGGCAAGAGATCCAGTAACTTCTTTTATAATTTCTAAGAGTAATTTTGCCAACTTTCTTGAAAATATTTTTTCCACATTTCCCCCACATTTTTCTATTTATCCTCTATAGTACAGTCTTACATACTGGCCACTAACATACACCTGGTTCTCTACCTGCAGTCCCACAGAGCTACTAACAAACACTTAAAAGTAAGGGAAACTAGCCAACAAAGACACAAGACTTTAAGGTTTAAAGTAATTCAAAGTTTTTAAAAGACTTTAAAGTCTTTAAGAGACTTTAAATTCAACCAACAGATAAAGATGGAGATGGCAACACTGACATTATCAGTCATCTGTCAGCGTCAGACACTGACGTTTTCTGGCACTTAGGGGAAAGGACTATGTCAGCAGGCATTTACAACCCTAGGAAATGGAAAAAATTACCAGGTAGGGCAGCTGATGGTAATGTAGCACTCCTGTCCTCTACAATCATGGCTACATGGATGGAAGCTAATGCAGCCAGCAGCAGGATTAATTTCTACGTAAGTCTTTGGCATGGATCAGTACAGGGAAACTGGAAATTAAATTAATAGATCCACAGTAAAGTTTAAGATCATCTATTCTGATTTCCTGTATCCCAGGCTATTAGATTTTCCAGAGTTACCCTTTATTGAGCTCAAGAAGAAGAATCTGATTATTGATTATTAGAGCTCTTTAAGACTTCTCATTCCTAGGCACATCCACTCTGGACACATGCCTCACGAGTTTGGCATTGGGAGATCTTCCTGTATACCAGTACCTGCCGCACGCATGAGCTCCATGCCAAAGGCACAAAGGGTCGTACAAGCTCACACAGCTCCTTAGCTCCTTAAAGGTAAACTTGTATTTGGTCAAAGCTTCCAGAAAATGACCTATTCTTGATGTGAAAGCCTTCAAGAGATGGAAAAATACCACATTCTTTGGTAGTTTGCTCCATTGGTTAATCACTCTGTTAAAATATTTGCCTTATTTCCAAAGTAAATGTCTCACTTTCAGCTTTATGCTTTTTCTACTTTTCTTCACCATATTAAAGAACACTTTAGCAGTTAGTACTTTCTCCTACTGAGTTTTAAAGCTACTTATAATGTAATCTTTAATTATTATTTTTTAAATCTTATTACTCAATTCTTTAAATCTCATCTTCCCTGCACATTCTTCGTTTTCCCAATACGTTTCTTCAAATGTAAACATCAGAAACATGGGCAGCATTAAAAACCTTATTAGTATCAACAAAGCTGTACACAGACAAAGTATGATTTCACTACTCTCATTTTCAGAGCTATTTCAGGCCACTGTAAATGCCTTTTTAACAGAGCATCAGAAAAGAAACTTTCAGTATCTTACCCATTTTCTCACATCTTCTTCTAAGACTACACACTTCAGGCATTACCTCTTTCTGTAACATTCTTTAGTCCTGTGTATCTAACCACATCAAATTTATCTGTAAAAATAACCTTGTTTGAACACACCTCAATTTATCATGTTATTTGGACTTCTTTGGGAGAATGCCTTGTCTTCCCAGTAGTTTACCATCACAGTTCTTTTTGTGTTATCTGTAACTTCAGTGACTTCTGAAGCAGTGATTTCCAAAAAGTTGTATTAAAAAAAGAAATTAAAAATCTGGTCTACCTGTTGATAGCTACAACACTACAACCAAGCCTGAATCCCTTTAACACACACTGATATACTGTATAGTACTACTTTTTAAATAAAAGGGTAAAATGTTAAAGTCTAATGTCTGAGCATATATATGTAATTTTGGTTAGTAAAGCAAAGTACTTTTAAACTCCAAGAACAATACTGTCCAATCACCTTCCACAAAACCACAACAGTTGTCAGTTATATTCCTCTCTCAGTTTTCTATCAAACAAATCTATGGTGAAGTTTTTTCCACTGCATACTGAATATAAGGCTGAGATTTCTGGCCACCTCTCCCTTGCCTAGATAAAAAGTGTTCCAGTCAGGATTCATGGTCTTCTAGTCTTCTGGAGTTTTCTTGATACCCAAGACTCACCATAGCTCAGCATAAGAGGGCCACAGACCTCCTAAGTCACCTTTTTAAGGCATTTTCATGGCAGTTTATATAGTCCCATCAACTACAAGCAGTGATGACCTACAACCTCAATCATGTTCCCATGCATTTCCATAAAAGCTTCATTATGCCCATGTGCTAGAAACACACTGTCCCATATCTTTCCAAACACAGAAATAGCTGATGTTGCTCCTACTATTTTTTTTCCCCTTCCCTGTAGATCCACCAAAAGAAATTGCTGGTTTTTTTAAAACCCCAACACTGTACAGCACACCACCTACAGAGCAAGAAATCAAAATGTGCAAGAGTCAAACTGCTTCTCTCTTGCCTTTTAAGACCCTTCCTAATTCAACCACATAAGAAATAAGCTTCTGCAGTAATAGCCTAGCAATTACTCTAAGTATTCTGACACAATACTATATGGATTGGTAAGAAGTGGATAACAAAATACATACAGTAAGTACCACACACACATACTGTGACTTCCTGGAATTTCTGGCCCAATCCCCCAAATTTGGTATCTTTCCAGTACGACACAATTGTCTGATAATTTATAAAAGCTTCAGCAATATCACAGAAGTCTTAACTGATCTGAGAATGGAAGTCTGTTTCAGAACTTCTATTTTTCATATCTTTTAAATTTATAATGGTTTTGTATATAAGAATGGTGACAAACTGTATCAGAATGAAAAGTAATAGCAATGAGAGCGAGCTGACTGAAGACAGCACATCATCTAGATAATCTGTTCAAAAGATTCTTAGTACTTTATCACAACATCCAGTTATGAAACA